CTTGTGACTTCTCAGAACTGTGCAAGACGAGATACTAAGAAGGTTTTGCACTTAGGAAGGCCGTGTTTGTAATGTAGTCTGTACTGCTGCCTGTCTGCCAAACGATTCTACACACGTACACATCATTGCACTTGCACACAATCTCTCTCTGTGTGTCTTCCTCCCTCTCTGGAACGCTGGTGATTTGTCCCGAACAATGGAGACATGGTTTTCCTATCTTGAGAGAGAACAAAACGCATCTTTTTCCTCTCCTCTCACACATACACACTTTGCAACCCGTTGCCTCCTTTTTGAGATGAAATGCCATTTAGCATACGCTTTTATCCAAATCAACTAAGTCATGCGTGCATCTTTTTATTGAATTTTGTTTACATACGGGTGGTCTCGGGAATCAAACCCAGTATCCTGGCATTGCAAGAGCCATGCTCTACCAACTGAGCTACAGATGACCACTCCAGGCATTGTCTGGTCTTATAATCCAAACCCAAACGTGAACACCTTAGAAAACAGAACTGAATGGAAAGAAAAACAGAGGGAGGGATAAGTAAAGGGGTGGATGTTTATTGTCATGAGTCTTGCCCTGGAGGCAGTACTGAGCAGTTTCCACTAGATGGGCCAGCAGCAACGTCAAAATTGGCTATATGGTAAAAATTAATGAAAACCAAAACCTAATTTAAGGTTGGGGTTAGGCATTAGGGTTACCAGTGTGGTTAGGTCTGGTTTTATAACTTTGTGCCTGTGCCAGCTAGTGACCACTCTGCAGAGCTGCCTCCAGTACACGAGTCATCCCAATAAATGCCAACCTGTGGATGAAATGGAAGGTTGAATGAGGGATGGGCCTATGTCTGATGGATGGAGGGAGGGAGGGAGGGATGAATAGGATAAGGAGTTATGGAGGGATGAATTTAATAGAAAATTGAATAGAGGGATGTGAGAGAACAATACATAGGAGAGGTGGCGTGTGCAAAGCTCTTGAGGTTGAGAGTGAATGCTCCTGCATGGGGTTGAAGGTCACAGTGGACTGGAGGGCTGTGTTGTGACTCACATGTCTGTGTGAGTGAAAATGCATCACAGAGACCCACTTGCTGTGACAAACACATGTAAGCCTTGTCTCTCACGCTCATTCGGTCTGTGACAGTCGTTTATTCATTATTTTCTGTGACAGGCACTCACACACACAATATACAGTAGTACACAATCTAGACAAAGGCTAGAGAGTGTTTTTTCCCGCTCTGTCTACTAGCTTAGAGTTTAGTACAGTGAGGGGAAAAAAGTATTTGATCCCCTGCTGATTTTGTACGTTTGCCCACTGACAAAGACATAATCAGTCTATAATTTTAATGGTAGGTTTATTTGAACAGTGAGAGACAGAATAACAACAACAAAATCTAGAAAAACGCATGTCAAAAATGTTATAAATTGATTTGCATTTTAATGAGGGAAATACAGTGGTGGAAAAAAGTATTGTCAGCCACCAATTGTGCAAGTTCTCCCACTTAAAGATGAGAGGCCTGTAATTTTCATCATAGGTACACGTCAACTATGACAGACAAATTGAGGAAAACAAATCCAGAAAATCACATTGTAGGATTTTTTATGAATTTATTTGCAAATTATGGTGAAAAATAAGTATTTGGTCACCTACAAACAAGCAAGATTTCTGGCTCTCACAGACCTGTAACTTCTTCTTTAAGAGGCTCCTCTGTCCTCCACTCGTTACCTGTATTAATGGCACCTGTTTGAACTTGTTATCAGTATAAAAGACACCTGTCCACAACCTCAAACAGTCACACTCCAAACTCCACTATGGCCAAGACCAAAGAGCTGTCAAAGGACACCAGAAACAAAATTGTAGACCTGCACCAGGCTGGGAAGACTGAATCTGAATCTAGGTAAGCAGCTTGGTTTGAAGAAATCAACTGTGGGAGCAATTGTTAGGAAATGGAAGACATACAAGACCACTGATAATCTCCCTCGATCTAGGGCTCCACGCAAGATCTCACCCCGTGGGGTCAAAATGATCACAAGAACGGTGAGCAAAAATCCCAGAACCACACGGGGGGACCTAGTGAATGACCTGCAGAGAGCTGGGACCAAAGTAACAAAGCCTACCATCAGTAACACACTACGCCGCCAGGGACTCAAATCCTGCAGTGCCAGACGTGTCCCCCTGCTTAAGCCAGTACATGTCCAGGCCCGTCTGAAGTTTGCTAGAGTGCATTTGGATGATCCAGAAGAGGATTGGGAGAATGTCATATGGTCCGATGAAACCAAAATATAACTTTTTGGTAAAAACTCAACTCGTCGTGTTTGGAGGACAAAGAATGCTGAGTTGCATCCAAAGAACACCATACCTACTGTGAAGCATGGGGGTGGAAACATCATGCTTTGGGGCTGTTTTTCTGCAAAGGGACCAGGACGACTGATCCGTGTAAAGGAAAGAATGAATGGGGCCATGTATCGTGAGATTTTGAGTGAAAACCTCCTTCCATCAGCAAGGGCATTGAAGATGAAACGTGGCTGGGTCTTTCAGCATGACAATGATACCAAACACACCGCCCGGGCAACAAAGGAGTGGCTTTGTAAGAAGCATTTCAAGGTCCTGGAGTGGCCTAGCCAGTCTCCAGTTCTCAACCCCATAGAAAATCTTTGGAGGGAGTTGAAAGTCCTTGCCCAGCGACAGCCCCAAAACATCACTGCTCTAGAGGAGATCTGCATGGAGGAATGGGCCAAAATACCAGCAACAGTGTGTGAAAACCTTGTGAAGACTTACAGAAAACGTTTGACCTGTGTCATTGCCAACAAAGGGTATATAACAAAGTATTGAGAAACTTTTGTTATTGACCAAATATTTATTTTCCACCATAATTTGCAAATAAATTCATTAAAAATCCTACAATGTGATTTTCTGGATTTCTTTTTCCTCATTTTGTCTGTCATAGTTGACGTGTACCTATGATGAAAATTACAGGCCTCTCATCTTTAAGTGGGAGGACTTGCACAATTGGTGGCTGACTAAATACCTTTTTTCCCCACTGTAAGTATTTGACCATTCTGCAAAACATGACTTAGTACTTGGTGGCAAAACCCTTGTTGGCAATCAGAGGTCAGACGTTTCTTGTAGTTGGCCACCAGGTTTGCACACATCTCAGGAGGGATTTTGTCCCACTCCTCTTTGCAGATCTTCTCCAAGTCATTAAGGTTTCTAGCCTGACGTTTGGCAACTCGAACCTTCAGTTCCCTCCACAGATGTTCTATGAAATTAAGGTCTGGAGACTGGCTAGGCCACTCCAGGACCTTAATGTGTTTCTTCTTGAGCCACTCCTTTGTTGCCTTGGCCGTGTGTTTTGGGTCATTGTCATGCTGGAATACCCATCCACGAACCATTTTCAATGCCCTGGCTGAGGGAAGGAGGTTCTCACCCAAGATTTGAAGGTACATGGCGCCGTCCATCGTCCCTTTGATGCGGTGAAGTTGTTCTGTCCGCTTAGCAGAAAAACACCCCCAAAGCATAATGTTTCCACCTCCATGTTGGATGGTGTTCTTGGGGTCATAGGCAGCATTCCTCCGCCTCCAAACACGCCGAGTTGAGTTGATGCCAAAGAGCTCGATTTTGGTCTCATCTGACCACAACACTTTCACCCAGTTCTCCTCTGAATCATTCAGATGTTAATTGGCAAACTTCAGACGGCCCTGTATATGTGCTTTCTTGAGCAGGGGGAACTTGCGGGCGCTGCAGGATTTCAGTTCTTCACGGCGTCGTGTGTTACCAATTGTTTTCTTGGTGACTATGGTCCCAGCTGCCTTGAAATCATTGACAAGATCCTCCCGTGTAGTTCTGGGCTGATTCCTCACTGTTCTCATGATCATTGCAACTCCACGAGTTGAGATCTTGCATGGAGCCCCAGGCGAGGGAGATTGACAGTTATTTTGTGTTTCTTCCATTTGCGAATAATCGCACCAACTGTTGTCACCTTCTCACCAAGCTGCTTGGCGATGGTCTTGTAGCCCATTCCAGCCTTGTGTAGGTCTACAATCTTGTCCCTGACATCCTTGGAGAGCTCTTTGGTCTTGGCCATGGTGGAGAGTTTGGAATCTGATTGATTGATTGCTTCTGTGGACAGGTGTCTTTTATACAGGTAACAAACTGAGATTAGGAGCACTCCCTTTAAGAGTGTGCTCCTAATCTCAGCTCGTTACCTGTATAAAAGACACCTGGGAGACAGAAATCTTTCTGATTGAGAGGGGGTCAAATACTTATTTCCCTCATAAAAATGCATTTTTGACATTCGTTTTTCTGGATTTTTTGTTGTTATTCTGTCTCTCACTGTTCAAATAAACCTACCATTAAAATTATAGACTGATCATTTCTTTGTCAGTGGGCAAACGTACAAAATCAGCAGGGGATCAAATACTTTTTTCCCTCACTGTAGGTTCTGGTTGTTAATGAGGTAGACCAGCTTCCACACGAACACTTCTTCCTGACTGTGCACAGTTGTGCAACAATACACTATGGTTTACAGTGGGCTTTTTTGTCTCCTGCCTGTCACTTTCTGCCCATGTTGACCTCTTTCTCTCGGTCTGTCTCTTTCCCAGGTCCGTAATACTGAGTGAAGGGCCGTGCAGGAGGGGCTTATAAAGGGGAGCCCACCGTGGTAAGAATGAAACATTGATGTTTTCTCAAATCACTCAATCAACCATACACCTCTTTTGAAATTGATTGATTTGATCTTCTCTCTGAGCAAACACATCTAATGTAACAACATGTTCATTGTTTCTCCTCCTTTTACTTTGTCTCCTTTTTTTTTTTTACTGCTCTGTCCTTTTTAAATCTCCCTCTTCTCTTCACCTCCTTGTACCTACTTTCACCTTCCTGCCTCGCTTCACCCTCTCCATATATCTCGTCTTCCTCCTGCACCCCCCCTCTTCTCTCCCTTTTCCTCCAGGTCGGTTGTAGTGTGTAGTGGAGAAGAGGCTCATCAGTAGCAGTAGCAGCAGCCATGGGTCTGTTAGCCTATCTGAAGACCCAGTTTGTTCTGCAGCTCCTCCTGGGTTTTGTGTTCGTGGTGAGCGGCCTCATCATCAACTTCATCCAGCTCCTCACCTGCGTCCTGTGGCCCATCAACAAGCAGCTGTACCGCAGGATCAACACCAGGCTCTCCTACTCCCTCTGGAGCCGTGAGTCCCCACACTATAATTGTTGTGTGTGTGTGTGTGTGTGTGTGTGAGATCCTGTGTGTTTGTGGTGTATGCTTGATTGACTGTGTATTTGTGAGATCCTGTGTGCATTATAAGACCTTGTGTCACACCTCAAAAGGAGACCTTGTAAAAGAATGGATCTGGTGATTCGATATTGATAGTTGTGACTCCGTTGACAATAGTTGAGTCGATTAATTTCTATATTTGGACTTGTTGCAGAGCTGGTGATGCTGCTAGAGTGGTGGTCGGGCACAGAATGCACCCTTTACACAGACCAGGCCACGGTGGATAACTTTGGCAAGGAGCATGTCATCATCATCCTCAACCACAACTATGAGATTGACTTCCTCTGCGGCTGGACGATGTGTGAGAGATACGGAGTCCTAGGGGTCAGTATTTTCTGTCTCTACTATCTACTATTCATCAGTCACTAAATGGGGGTCATCTCAATAGTCCAAAGTCAGCGGCTTCCCCACTTTCTCCTTTCTATTATCAGCCCTGATCTGAAAGAATCAGACCAGTGAAACCAAATGATGCCTTCCACATGGCTTTAAACTGTTGTGCATTTTCAGATTCCGTAGCAAGAAAGAGATGAGATTGATCATAGAGAAAGACTTCAGGACTTTTACCGTTCCCACGCTTTCTTTTCTACCCAGAGTTCCAAGGTGCTGGCCAAACACGAGCTGCTGAAAGTGCCTCTGATTGGCTGGACCTGGTACTTCCTGGAAATCGTATTCTGCAAGAGGAAGTGGGAGGAGGACAGAGACACCGTGTTCAGAGGTCTGGACAGACTCAAAGACTACCCTGAGTTTATGTGGGTTAGTATGGCTCATTTAGTTAACCCTTTACACTCATGGGAATTGGCCTATACGGAGAGGGCTAAATTAAAATGTTTCTTACAGAAGAAATATGAAAAGCATAAACATAAGATTTGTAGCAATTGAAACAGTTAGGAGATTATGGGGAAATTATTACACCTGAAGTTGAGGACCCAACAGTTCACCTTACACAATACTGAATCCAAACATTACACTTGATTTTATGTGCATTTTATATATACTGTACTTTTCGCCACATTTGTTGATAACAGAATCTGAAAATTATCTGGATACATTCAGTAGCATAAGAATATTCATCTCCAATACTTCACACAGTTGTGTCAAGTTGGCTGGATGTCCTTTGGGTGGTGGACCATTCTTGATACACACAGGAAACTGTTGAGTGTGAAAAACCCAGCAGCATTGTAGTTCTTGACACAAACCAGTGCACCTGGCACTGTTGTAGAAAATTATCAAACAAACAAAGTACTTTCAGAGTTTTTGTAGAATCAAGATAGACTTTATTACACAAGCAATAGAGCTGAGCTGGTCTGCAGAGCAACTGCCGTCCCAGACTTGGAGCTCTCTTTTTATACAGCTTCATCTTTTCATATCATATCTGAGCCACTATGGTTTCTTTGTCTAGCTTCTTTCCTGTCTATCCCCATGTCTGCTTGGTATCCTTTTCACATCATATCGGAACCCCCTCTTTATCCAAACAGTCACCTTCCCTTGACCTGAAGCCACTATGGTTTTCTTCTTGTGGCTATGTGTATCGGGTCATAGCGCACAAACAAGTGATAACGTTAGTTCTGTTACTACTCATATCTCCACACAGCTGCGCCCTTGGAAGATAGTAAAAGACAGGATGAACAGAAAAACTGTGGTCATTCTGAGGCTCTTTGTCTTGACCGTGTGACCAGGTTACTCAGAAGCAATGAGAAGTGGAAACAATACAGGTCTATCTCCATCCCATGGCCTTGACTACACACCAGACCAGCTGCAGAGAGCTAGAGGGAACCATCCTTTCTCAGAAGCACGGCATTTGCACTAAAGAAATGCCTCTACTATTGTTAAGCATATTATAATATATGTAATGGAAAAATACCTATAGAGCCACTTCATCATGGGTCTGTTTTAACCCTTTAATTGGTTCTTAATCCATAGGCATATAGGCATTTCATTCTACAACATGAATAATTCATATAATTAGTTTATGTTGTCTGCCCTTAAATGAGACAGAGTAGTTAACTAAAAATCTCCAATAGCACCTACTACCATACCCCGTTCAAAGGCACTTAAATATTTTGTCTTGCGCATTCACCCTCTGAATGGCACACATACACAATCCATGTCTCAATTGTCTCAATGCTTAAAAATATCTCCTCCCCTTCATCTACACTGATTTGAAGGTGATTTAACAAGTGACGTCAAGGGATCATAGCTTTCACCTGGATTCACCTGGTCAGTCTGTCATGGAAAGAGCAGGTGTTCCTAATGTTTTGCAAACTCAATGTGCAATGCATAGGCCTATTATGCACGGCAGAAAAGCATAAAAAAACAACAACATAGATTTAAGATGTCTTTGGCACATAATTGGTCTAGCCTTTACTCCAAAATCTTAGTTGGCCTACAATTACAGTGAATTTGTTTTTGAATAGCCTAGCAATGGGGATTATTTTTTTCCCAAAGTTAATAGACTGACACACAACCTTTTTAGCTACAGAATCTCACCACTATGAGTTTCCATCTCCTACTCACTCTCCTTCATTCCTTTCTCGAGCACGTAGAGAGAGGGGCAGTCAAAGGATTTAATGAAATATGTTTTGTTGTGAAAACATGTTACTATTGATGTTCCCGAACAGATTCCACTTAGTTTCCCAAGTTAAGCACTGCAGGAACATGGTTGGAGAGCCCATGGCATACAGAGTTTGGGCGGAATATCACCCGTCGTGCAGCGAGAGGCTGCATGCTCCTCAAATAATGGTTGATGCGTGGTGTGAAATAAGTGTTCTTATAAACCCAGACATTTCTATATGTAATCCTGTGTGAAAGCGGAGTATTGATGGTTGCCACTAAAAAGAGGACGATCCCAGCTCCGACTATTTTTCTCAGCTGCTAGTATTAAGCACATGCTTCGCTATAAAACCGGAATAGCTTACCCGGCATGATTTGAAAAACGAACTGTGGAGAGCGGCCTCTATTCGCTATTCGAGTGCATACGGATGACATTAATTTTTTCCCCCTGCCCATTTGACAATGGGCCGTTCTAAATCAAAACGTATTGTACATATCACCATCTAAATCTAGCATATGATGACCTGTTTCAAATGATCACCTTTTCGCTCAATATAGTCATTTCATATGCGCACTTGCTCCGAAATGGGAAAAATATTATTTATTTTATTCAGCTAAGTTCAATTATATTCTTCTTACTATAAAATATAAAATAATGGTACGCGACTTATAAGCATATATTTTCTGCTAAATGAACTAGCCTATGGAAAGGCGCATAGCCAGATAATGTATAGGCCGACTCATTCTGTTCTTCTGAAATGCATTTATCATCATAATGTTTCTTTAGACCTGCTTAAAATAAATCATAGATTTATTGTGATGGTGAATATTAAATGGATTTAATAGACTTTTCTGTATGTAGACGTTCCAAAGGCTCACATCAGCGGCTTGTGTGCCTAGAGACCTGGAGATGCTAAACATGTTTATGTTAATTAACGGTCAATTACCTTGAGACCGGTAGTCATTTGCATGACAATAACCAGCAAATTGTCATGACAGCCCTTGTCATGAGTGCATTCAGGTATGTGTTCCACAGCGAATATTCTTCACAATAGACAAACAGGCCCATTCTGTTCAGGACAACCCAGGATGTGATGCCATGTCATCTTGTAACTGTAAATCAAACATAGTGATCATAAAGGTTGACACTGTATATGTGAAGTGCACATTTGGACTCATGAGTGTTTGCCTTGCTTCTATGATATCAAAGTGGTATTTATTATAATCCTCAACATTTCATCTTTCAAAATACATTGAGTCCTCTTAATTTACAGCATTTCCCTCACTCGGACAACAAAAAAGTTGCCCAATTAGCGGGAGGGATGGGTGTAACGTCTTGTCACGTGTATTGCTCAAGTTCAGAACGGCTGTCAGTCAAAAACCATACAGAGCTGTAAAGTGCAGCGCACTGCGTTCCAATGTAGGCACTTATCAGTGCCCAAATCTGCCCTTTTCAACCCGTATACAGGTACGAGTGTAAAGGGCTAAGGCCTAAATTTTTCTATCCTGGGCCAGATGACTCAATTTTTTGTAATTCTGCCAGCTCTTAACCACCATTTACAAAACGATGAGGGTAGCGCACATTAGGCCCAGACAGGTCGTACAGTGAATCTACACACAGGACTGATCCTTGAGCTCCCGGCCATAACAAGTCATTGGACTAAGTCCAGGAGTTCTGTCTTGTCCGGAGCAGGTCTAGTTAGTGTTATTCACCAAGCTGAGACGCCACAGGGGAATCTAGGTCAGTGATTCTGGTCTGGTTCCTAATAGCCCTCCCTAAAGATCTTTAGACGCATGCTGTTGCTCAGGCTGCAAGCTTCCACTTCCACCGCTTGTTATGGTTACCGGGAACGACCAGAGAGATTTTGCCAATCAGGTCGTCTGATCTGATTTAAGCGACACCTAGGAAAAAACCCAGTCACATGACTGACCAACTCACCTCAGGGACAGGAGGACAACAAGATGTGCAGTGTTGTTTTCTTTGAAACACTCTGTCTGAGAATGTACATTTTAGTGACCCTGTACCAACTCTAAATGGAAGTCCTTGAGATGATAAGATAATAACTTTATTTAGAGTAGCGTTTCCTGGAGGTGCATTTAATCTGTAACACAAGCTGGCCCTGCTGGGAAGTCTAAGAGGATAGAGGAAAGGAGGTCACCTCAACGGGTGTGTGCCTGTGTCTGAACCAGTAGTGTCTTGTGTATTTCTAAACTTGTTTTATCTTTGCGTATGTTTCTCTAAGCTCAACATATGTGTGTCTGTGAATCCTTTGAGTGTATGTGTTTATTGACACTCCTTTTCCTGTCTCCATAGTTCCTGCTGTACTGTGAAGGCACCCGCTTCACAGAGAAGAAGCACCAGATCAGTATGGAGGTGGCAGAGAGCAAAGGCCTGCCCATGCTCAAATACCACCTACTGCCCAGAACCAAAGGCTTCACCACAACACTGAAATGCCTCAAGGGCACAGGTGGGGCATGCATGCATGCACACGTGGCGCACGCACACACAGTTCAAAATAAGTTAACGTATTATTATAGATTTTCTGTTCTCCGTCTTTTATTGTTTTTAGTATCTGCCGTGTATGATGTCACACTGAATTTCAAAGACCACCAAGTCCCCACTCTGCTGGGCATAATCAACGGCAAGAAATACATGGCAGATATGAAAATCAGGTGGGTACTGATCAATATGTATGACCCTGTGATTATTACTTGAGCTGTTTCAAGCGAAAAACCCATGACGTTCTGTTAGCCTCTTGGCTTTGTTCCAAGCACATTGTTTTTTTAATAGTAAGCGAGACAGTGGACTGCTCAAAACTGAGCCGGAATCTTGCCTGAACACTCCTTTGAGTTGCTGGGGTAGTCCTGTCCTACCCAACCCGCAGAGGTAAAGAGAGGCTGAAAGAGGGAAGATGGCAAAGAGAGGGGGCGCAGAAAGGGTGGAGGAGCGGGGCATCGACAGAGATCACGGATGCCCTGTGGTGAAAAACAGGACTCGGCGACTCATGTCCTTGAGACCATATTTAAATCTTGAGTTACAGTACCAGCCTTCAGTAAAACCCCTAACTCTTAGAGAGAGAAGAATAAAACTATAAGATTACAGAGAGCCATTTGTCTTATTGCAATTTGAAATGTTTATTTTCTAATCATAGTGACCATTTGAATGACAACGTTCAAAGCCTTAATTTCATTGCCTTTAAATTAGATTACATGGAGAGCCAGATTAAAAACAGCTCCAGTGCATGAATGAGCCCTGTGTGAGGCTAAACGGGGAGAGTAGCCTGGTGTGGCAGAAACAGGTGCTTGTGGCAAAATAATACGTAATGCTATACATCTAAAGGCTGTTATATGGCACTGTCCTACTGTAGGTGTCACTGTATGAGGAGCTCCATCTGAACCTTGTGTGAGTTTGCCCCCTGGTGGTGAGATGTTGCTATAGCAGACATTCTCTACTCCAGGGTTCCCAAACTCGGTCCTGGGGCCCCCCCCAGGGTACACGTTTTGGTGTTTGCCCTAGCACTACACAGCTGACTCAAATAATCAAGGCTTTATGATTTGTTTTTTTATTTGAATCAGCTGTGTAGTGCTAGGGCAAAAACCAAAACATGCACCAAGGGGGGGCCCCAGGACCGCGTTTCGGAAAACCCTGCAATCTGTTGCCATAGCAGACTCTCCCTGCCATCTCCTGCATTGTGTTGACTGCCTGCCTCCTCTGCTCCTTCTCTCTACAGGCGGTTCCCTGTAGAGGAGATCCCAGAAGATGAAAAGGAGTGTGCCAACTGGCTTCATAAGCTTTACCAGGAGAAGGTAGGGCTCTTTAGTGCTTGAGTTATAACTGAATATTGTTAAATGTAGTTTTGTTCCATGTACAGGTCTCACACATGGATAAACTTCTATATCAGATGAGTTAGACACATACCTTTATTTGGAAGTAACAACACTAAATATGTTTAACCAGTTTGGTAGTACCTTGACATTCATTCGGTCTCCCTCTCCAGGATGCTCTGCAAGAACACTACCATAAAGAGGGCACTTTCCCAGGTCCCACCATCACCCCTCCTCGCCGGTTGTGGACGCTACTTAACTTCTTGTTCTGGGCGACCCTGCTGCTCTCGCCCCTCATAAACTTCGCCTGCGGTGTGGTGGTCAGTGGCTCCCCCCTCCTCATCCTCGGCTTCAGCCTCTTCCTTATCATAGGTGAGTAGAGGGTACATAACGTTTCCTCGTAACTCTTACCTTAGCCTGGGACTATGATCCAATAACCATGAGGTTTATAGCTAACTAACACGTATGGGAATGTAACTAAAATGTAGACTAATGTGCATAGTTCCTGACAACATTGGTCCATCATCTGTCTATCTTTTTGGTCCTCCTCAGCCTCTATAGCCATCCGGCGCCTGATCGGTGTGACCGAGATAAAGAAGACTGGCTCCAGTTACGGCGACGAGGGGGCTAAGAAACAGAACTAGAACGCTCCCTCCTCCTGACAGCGGTTGGTCGCTCTCATACGGTCCTTCTGCGGTCCCCCTATTCTGTTGTCCTGAGGTACGAGTAAGCACTCTGGGGAGGGGGTCAAACCGATTTACACCGATTTACACCAGAGATGGATCTGGACGATGAGGGAAGAAAGAGGGGGAGAGGTATGTTCATGGGAGGAGTGTAGAGAGAGAAAGGAGACCATCTGGAGCCATCTCTCTGTGGAGCAGGACTGCGAATGGGAGGTACTGCTGTGAACATGCTCCTTGCCCCCTTATCACCCCCCTCAGATTCCCCCCCGCCACCGCCCACTCTTCGACTCCTGACCAATGCCCTTTGACCCTAGGAACCAAGCCTATCAGTAACTTTCCTTTCCATAACTTTCTTTTGAATTTAGTTTTTTATTTGAGGTTGAGGTGTTACTTCAGTGTTCACCTTGTAACATACAGTATATCTCCCCCCTCGTTCTACCAAAAGCCTGGCAGAGCTCTACAATGCGACCATTTTACTTACATATGCGCCTAAATATGTTGCTGTGCGACCTGGAATTTAAATTTAGGAGCACCAGTGCACCTAGAAAAAAAAATCACCCAGATGATAATTGTTGCAATGATTACTTCACTGTACGGCAGCCCCTGAATGCCATCGAGAATACGCTGAGCGCAGATTCATGACCGTTATCCTTGCACCATTATTACAAAGAAAACCGCTTGTTACCTCAAACATTTTTCATTATGCTCCTTCTTTGTGTACTTGTACATTTTTCAACTTAGGCGCACGTGCTCCCTGTAAAAATAAAAAAAAAAAAAGGTCAATGGAGAGCCCTGCCTGGTTTCCTCTTTGCTTTTAACCTCTTGTTTATTTTCGCTGTGCTTCATCTCTGCTGTGGGAGCCATTCATATTCATGAGAAAATATAAATGGGGTGGTTCTATGATTCTAGAAGTCTATGCATTCTTACCAAGATAGTCAGCTAGAGTTTGGCTGCTGTTGAATATCACTGAGGGACTTATTCTCAACTGAGCTATGTTCAACAGCAGAGATGGGACTTCCAGTGTTTTAAATACTGAGCATGTTTCTATGTGTTAAGACTACAGTAAGGGCTTTGTATTCATTAACTACATTGTAACTAACTACTTACTTACATGGACATGATATTCCACTCCAATGTTCCAATGCCCCCGGGTTCTGACTGTTATTATTCATTTATGTATGTAGGTTTTTACAGCGTTCTCCATGGCTTGCTCAGAAGTAGATGTCTGCACACATATTACCATGCCAGTTCCTGAGTGCTCTATGAACTTGTTCTCCTGCTATCTCTGCTCTGGTGTACACATGCTCAACCACCCCCAGTGTTAGTGTGACCTCTTTATAATAACTTTGATCACCAATTCCAGTCAAAACAGACTATGATAACCCACACCTACCCTTTTATAGTTGAAATGCAGTATTTACTGAATGAATGAGTTCATCTAATGATCGAAGCTGAAAGCTGCTGGTCCCACTGTCATCCCCTTCTCTTGTAAAACAGTGATTGGGTTGGTAGTGGCATTAGTGTATGGAAACACAGCACTTACTACTGTCCACTTGTAACCTCATTACTGAAAGGACATTTGATTCTGCTCTTCAGCTCTAGACTATAGGAATGTTTGCCTTAATTCAAGTTTGCTTAGGCTAGGGTGATTGTTTGATTGGTTGCTAAGTTCCTTCCCCACCTCATCTCTCCCTCCACTACAGTCTTGTATTCAGACACCCTTCATCCATAATGGTGCACAATGGGTAGTGGAGTTTTTTCTGGAGTTGTACTGACATGTTTTAGGCCCAGGTATATGTTGAGGTGCGAGGATCAATAGGATCTTATCAGTAGCCACCAATGTGTAACATGATGTTACTAAAGCTACTTACAGGTCCTGAACTGCACAGGAAGGAATAGTTCTTAATATTTTATTTTTTTCTCATTTTATTTTGCTGCTATTCATTGTAGAGCACAGCGCCACCCTAGGCTCAGGCACTGCAACCGCACTTGCTTTCAAAACATGTTACATTGTTTATCTCTACTCATTGGACAATTATTTACACTCTGATGGCAGTCTTAATGGTGACCTGCCCCATCTGTGTTCTGTGGGGGGTTGGTGTATAGGGAGGGTGATGACTCCTTTATAACTGGGATTATGAAAGCAGACCTCAAAGATGACAGGTGACTGGTATTTCCCCAGTGCAACATGGTAGCAACACGTCATCATTATCCCTTGTCTATAGAGCACCATCCTGTTTCAACGTCATCATCTTTTCTCCATATGTTGATGTTCATTGTTATTCTGTTTTTAATTTTAGCGTTAAATGTTTTTTAACCAGGACAGATTCATGTAAGCCTTAACAGACAGAGTGCAGCTTCATTGCATTGTGTGTGAGAACTTAGACAGACAATGCTTCCTCAGCCCCCATGTAGTAAGTTTTGATTGGCAAGTGGTGAGGGACACTGATTCAGTAAGATTCACATAAATCTGCCCTCTGTTAAAATGAAGAGGAACTCATGTTTATTTCTCACTATAGAAAAAAGTAGAAGTATAACTATTTGGAAAGCTGAAGAGATGAGGGTCCTGTAAGAATCTGCTCCTAGTTACAGTAATAGTTAAGCGGGCCCCATTTTTAATAATACTTACTGTCCCATGATACTTCTGTGTTTTGATACCTATTTTTCAACTCCTGTGACATCTCTGAACTGTCAATACAACTGTTACAATAGCTTAGGAGATATGTTCTAAGTTTTGGGGCATAATTTTGATCTCATCTCCGGTCTACTTCCCATAACTCCAAACTACAGTACATGTCAGGCACTGGTGCAGTCCCACCTCTCCCTCAGGTATCTATCAGTCTAACTCTGTGTATAAGGTGTATATATTTCCAGAGCAACATAACATGCAGAGAAGTTATAACATTATTTGACAGTTTCTAACACAGTGGGATTTTTTCCAGTAAAAACCTACAAACTTCAAATTTTCTTGTTTTTGTTAAAGTTTTCGAAACTAAAGAATTAGGTAACGTTAGAAATTCGACACTGAAATCAGACCCTTTTTGGCTTAAGTGGCACATCTCGACTCAAATTTTATTTGTCTTTTTTCTAAGTCTATTTGTATCTGTTTCTTCAAACAATTAATCATATTAAAGGATTTAATCAGTTGGTTCTAATTCTGTCAGTTTGTTTGAATGAATTTCTCAGTTTGCAGCAGAAACCACATTGTCTTCAGACAAATGTCATTCTAACGAGACCACGTCATCACAGGAGGCTGCTGATGGGAGGCTGGAATGGTATCAAACACATGGAAACCATGTTTAATGTGTTCGATACCATTCCATTTTTGTTCCGTTCCAGCCATTACTGTGAGCCCGTCCTCCCCAATTAAGGTGCCACCAACCCCCTGTGGTTGGTATGAACTATCATTACAGACTGAGTCGTTGCGCTATCTGACATAAGACAATGGCAGAACCACACACTGCAAAAAGTTACATCTAAGCAAGCCTAAATATCTTGTATTGAATGATAATTAACTTAGTTATTATATATATATATATACATACACACAGAGTACCAGTCAAAATTTTGGACACCTACACATTCCAGGGTTGTTCTTTTATTTTTACTATTTTCTACATTGTACAATAATAGTGAAGACATCTAAACTATGAAATAACACATGGAATCATGTAGTAACCAGTGTTAAACAGATTCTTCAAAGTAGCCACCCTTTGCCTTGACAGCTTTGCACACTCTTGGCATTCTCTCAACTAGCTTCATGAGGTAGTCACCTGGAATGCATTTCAATTAACAGGTGTGCCTTGTTAAGAGTTCATTTGTGGGATTTCTTTCCTCCTTAATGCGTTTGAGCCAATCAGTTGTGTTGTGACACGGTAGGGGTGGCATACAGAAGATAGCCCTATTTGGTAAAAGACCAAGTCGATATTATGGCAAGAACAGCTCAAATAAGGAAAGAGAAACGACAGTCCATCATTACTTTAAGACATGAAGGTCAGTCAATCCGGAAAATGTCAAGAACTTTTGAAAGTTCCTTTTTAAACAGCTTGGAAAATTCCAGAAAATTATGTCATGGCTTTAGAAGCTTCTGATAGGCTAATTGACATCATTTGGGTCAATTGGAGGTGTACCTCTCAGTGCCTCTTTGCTTGACATCATGGGAAAATCAAAATAAATCAACCAAGATCTCAGGGGGGGAAAAAAATGTAGACCTCCAAGTCTGGTTCATCCTTGGGAGCAATTTCCAAACGCCTGAAGGTACCACGTTCATCTGTACAAACAATAGAACACAAGCATAAACCCCATGGGACCACGCAGCCGTCATACCGCTCAGGAAGGAGACGCGTTCTGTCTCTAGAGATGAATGTTTATAGATTCCGTCTCTCACAGTTGATGTGTACCTATGATAAAAATTACAGACCTCTACATGCTTTGTAAGTAGGAAAACCTGCAAAATCGGCAGTGTATCAAATAGTTGTTCTCTCCACTGTGTGTGTGTGTGTATATATATATATATATATATATATATATATATATATACAGTGGGGGAAAAAAAGTATTTAGTCAGTCACCAATTGTGCAAGTTCTCCCACTTAAAAAGATGAGAGAGGCCTGTAATTTTTATCATAGGTACACGTCAACTATGACAGACAAATTGAGATTTTTTTTCTCCAGAAAATCACATTGTAGGATTTTTAATGAATTTATTTGCAAATTATGGTGGAAAATAAGTATTTGGTCACCTACAAACAAGCAAGATTTCTGGCTCTCACAGACCTGTAACTTCTACTTTAAGAGGCTCCTCTGTCCTCCACTCGTTACCTGTATTAATGGCACCTGTTTGAACTTATTATCAGTATAAAAGACACCTGTCCACAACCTCAAACAGTCACACTCCAAACTCCACTATGGCCAAGACCAAAGAGCTGTCAAAGGACACCAGAAACAAAATTGTAGACCTG